TGACCCTCCCTGTGACTGGTTCCTTTCAGTGTGTGATGGGTGACCTGCACAAGATCCCTCAGTCGTGTTCCCACAGATGCACCAAGATGGTGACTGAAAGTCTCTGTGTAAGGTCACACTGGTTCATTTTGTCCTCTTATGGCAGGGTCAGTGCTGCAGCCAGGGCTGTACAGGATTCAGGAATATAGCTGGAAACTCCAGGGGCAGGGTACCATTGAATGCACACATGTAGGACTGAGAGAGCTGTGTCACAACATTATGGAATTCATCAGCAGGAAGGGTCCCACTCCATGAGTGTCCTGGCGTTATTACATCCTGAAGGTGAAGGTACACTACCCTTACAGCTGGCATAATTCTGATATCCTGTGGCACTCTCGTATACCTGGTGTGTTTGAGGGTCTAGGAGCCTTACAAGGCTGGTTACTGGGGGTCAAGGGCTACCCACTGTGAGCATTGTGGAGCCCCCTGGTTGATGCAGAGCACTGGTACAATGCCGCCTACGCTTTCACCATGGGCATGGTGGAGCGGGCGATGGGGCTTCTCAAGATGTAGTCCTGTGGCTTGGACTAGTCTGGAGTACGGTGCCCTCCAGTGTAGTCTGCGCAGACAGTGCTACATCATCCTGGCATATTGGCCTCTGCATAATTGGAGCTGGCAATGGGCCACTGTGATAGACAAAGTGGGAGGTAAAGAAGCAGTCTTCGGAAAAGGAGGACGAGGGCACTGGGCAAGAGGAAAGTTGATGTTGTCTATGACAAAACTGAGCTGCGTCGGAAACTACAAGCCAGACAGACCCCAGTTGACATCCACTCTGATGAGAGTTGGGTGTAGCAGATGACCATGGAATATAATATCGGCGTTGGTCACAATGCCAGTATTTGTTTTACATTGTGCAGTGATCTGCAGCCTGTGTGTGTGTGTGTGTGTGTGTGTCTTGGCCACATTCCCTTCTGTTGGTTGTCGATAGAAGCTCATTGCTGGAATTGGCCAATTGCTCAGCTTTATGAGATGTTCGCAATGCTTAATGACAAATACAGTGGGAAATGGGCACAGAATAATGGTGATGTAGGAGATTTAGGCAGGATATTGCTACAGAGAATTAAACAGTGTGAACTGGTTGTTAAACTGTGAATAGGCTGAGAGGGCGTGGTTGAATGTGAAGATAGAATCAGCCATGCGGTTTACATGACACGAGCAGGATTGTTTTGCTGTTCCATTATGTCACTGGTGAGGGACAATGCCGGATTATCAAAGTTTGTCTTGTGAAAAGTGACATTCTAGAGATGGCGCGGGTGCGAAGGATGCTGGTCTTTTGGTCGATATCCTGTGAGTGTCAAGGTTTTTGGCGATCAATGTGCAGTAAGGTGGGAGTGGAATTGTCCAAGATACATGTCATAGGAGCAGGATGGGTATCTGAGGAGGTGAGCCAAGTAAGATCTAGTGAGAAAGCTCTCTGGGCCTCCAATTAAAAACCTTCCTAAAAACTCAATGTAACTCCAACTTGGACAGAAGAGCACAAGATCGAACCCTTTCTGATCATTGTCTCCAAATGCTTCTGACTGAAAGTGTTTTCCCCATGTCCTTCTACAGAATTGGATACAGCGAAGCCTCCTAACTTGTTGAAATGGAAATTACATCAATAACAACAACTTGCTCCTATATACTGACTTTAACATCGTGAAATGTCCCAAAGTATTACTCAAGAGCATTATAAAACCAAATGTGACAGCAAGCCACATGGGGAGAGATTAGATCAGATGACCAGAAGCTTGGTCAAAGATGTAAGTTACATGGGAAGAAGGGAAGGTTTAAGGATAGAATTCCACATCTTAGGACTCTAGCATCTGAAATCACGGCTACCAATAGTGTAGCCACAGTGGATGACTGAAGCCAGAACTGAGGGTGGCTAACCTCAGAGAATCATTACAGAGTAGAAGCAGGCCATTTGACCCATCAAGTTCATTCTGATCCTCCAAAGAGCATCAGATCCAGTCCTGTCCCTGCATTCCCCATGGTTAATCTACCTAGCTTGCACATCTCTCAACAATTTAGCATGACCAACCTTTCTAACCTGCATATCTTTGGACTGTGGGAGGAAACCCACACAGACACAGTGAGAACGTGCAAACACCACACAGGTAATTGCCCAAGTCTGGGATTGAATCTGGGTCCCTAACACTGTGAAACAGCAGTGCTAGCCACTGAGCCACACAGGAGATGATCTCCTGGGCATCTGTGGGCTGGAAGAGATATAAGATGGCAGGAGAAGTGTGGTTATGGAGGGCATTGCAAATAAAACTTTAAAAATCAGGGTGAGCTGATGTAGCTCAGTGAGTATGAGGGAAGGGGTTTGGTAACTGAAATTTGGTATAAGCTGGGTCACTGGTAGTATTGGACAGCCCCGAAATTACAGAGGACAGAATAGACACTACCCCATCAATTATCATCCTAATTTATTCTGATAGTTGCGTGCTAACTTACTGCAATTCTTGTGCGAGAACACCTCTGAAGCATATTTCCTGAACTGTCACTATATTAAGAGTATTCTGTTTCTTTTTATTTTTCCTTCCAAAGTGGAGAAGTTCACTTATCCCCATTTTATCTTCCATTTGTCACATTAGTGCCCGTTTAATGAACCTTCATTTTCCTCCGCAGCTCATCTGCATCCTTAATCCTCAGACTTTACTCGCTGCTCAGGCACACCCTGCTCTTATATCTAATAATCCCTTACGTGGACAAAAACGTAAGCTGAAAGATAAAAGAAGAACTACTGCTGGACAAGAATACTGCAGAATTCTAATGGCTCTGAACCAAAATGCACTCTTTCGCAAATTTCATAACTCAACCCTTCCTCATTTACTTCCTTGCAAACATCTATAAAAATAAGTTTCAGAAGACGACTGGAAATAGCAGCAAAATACTGCTGAAAAATTCAAGTAGGATAGAGAACGCTGTAAATACTCCGCAGATCCACCATCCTCTATCATAAATCAATACTGACAGCTACCTTACCTCAATGGCTTCATAAGGGAATTTATCTTATACATGTAAACTTAATCCATAAGATCATAATTTTTATCCCATGCATGGGAAAAGAGAGCAAATATTTGAAATAAAATCAGAACGTGCTGGAGAAATTCAACAGCGCCTGTGGAGAAAGAAACAGAGGTTACATTTTGATTCTGACATGACATCCTTCAGAACCCACAGATGGTGCCAGACTTGTTAATTTTCTCCAGGGTTTTCTGCTTTTCGTTCAGATTTCCTGCATTTGCTTTTGACAAATATTTAAAACTTACATGATGGTAACCGGTCCACAGGGTCTTGGGGAGTAGTTCAGAGTCGAATTGTTCATAGTATCTTCTCCCTGGGATTTTTAAAATTTTGTTTCTGTCTAGAAAGGGCAACTATGCATGTCATGTCATGAAGCCCAGACCATCATAATGGAGAGCTTGATAGATTCATCCATTTGTATGTTAAACGTTTAGAACTCTCTGCAGCAGAACTTGAACTTGCAACCTTTATGGTACAGAGATAAGAGAGATACTACTGAGCAGCAATTGACATGAAGCCAGTTATCCTGGCAATGGTGCCTTTGATATAAGCGACTATATTATTGGGCCGTTTCAGAGGGCAAATAAAAGGCAACCAGGTAAGTATGAGCCAAAAACAGAAATTGCTGGAAAAGCTCAACAGATCTGGCAGCATCTGTGGAGAGAAATCAAAGTTAACATTTTGGGTCCAGTGACCCTTCCTCAGAACTGATGGTAGCTAGGAACAAGTTGATTTTTATGCAGAAGATAGGGTGGGGGGAGCGGGGTAAGGCTATGGAACAATTTATTAATCTACATTCAACAGTGAAGTTAAATTGGCTCTTTGAAGACATGAAGCAATTTGGAACTGGGAGGAAGGGTTTCACAAGGAATGGTGTGTATCTTTAAATTCATCATGTTAAAACCAACTGAGGTCGCAGATGAACAATCAAAGAAAGCCAATTAATTTCTCTTTACCGAGGAATGTAGTGATTTGGGGTATCTTGCCTGGAATTGTATAAATTGGGGAATTTTACCCAGGGATTAGTTTTAGCAGTCCAACTAGGATTAAACAACAAAATAAGGTACGAAACTACTCTGCCAATTCATCATCAAAAGGAGGAACTGCTGGTATATCAATAGTATCAGTTGTGTCTACATGTTTTTGTACAACACTCAGGTTGACAGTAACATACATGTGCTAATTTTCAAGCTGCATTGACAGAGAGATCGTTAATAAATTATGAAATATTCAATTTTCCTTTATTTATTTGAACCATGAGGAACCTTAACATTTCTAACCTGTTAAGAATGTGTTTTATTCACACATGGTCACTTATCGAAGGAAGTCTATCATTAGTTTAAGGAGATCTGTCAATAGTTCAAGTTGCAGAATTTCTGTCTCATGTCCTTCTACTTCTATAAAAGATAAAGAAGGTGCTGCAAAGTATAAGCAAAAATGCGATGACTTGAACTGCCTCTTTTCCTGACATGACACTCCCTTAGGCCTTCCACTCCAATAGCCCACGATTAATATGATTCTCTCTGTTAAATTCCCCCTATTAAACCAAGGACTACCTGTCTCAGCTAGATGTAATAGGAGCAGGGAGTTTCTCTCAGCATCCTGACCAACATTTACCCAACACCTAAAACAGATGATCTTGTCAATTATCTCATTGCTGTTTGCGGTCACTTCGTTCAAAATGGCGAATTGGTTATGGAGTTGTTCAGGACACCTTGAGGTTGCGAAAAGGGTCACTTATAAAGGCAAGGTTTTCTTGGCTTCAGAACCCTCTTGAAAAACAAACTTTGGTCCAAATCTTTGGCTACTCTCTCTCGAGCATCTCCTTTGACTCAACAACCATTTATTTTGTCGCACTTGCAGAAAATACCGGAAGAGGTCTTTCACCGGAGACATGTCACTGTGGCTATTGTAACAGCTGAGTGCAGTTCTGGTGAGGAACTTACATGAAACGTTGAGAGTAATGTTGGCTTCATCAGAATATGAGAACACACTGTAGGTTACTGAACATTTGACGATCTTGTTGTGATCCTGATATGATGGGATGAAACGGATACAACTGCTGAGCACTCTTGTATTATCATTGCATTGTTCTGCTGTCAGGTCAGCAAGGCCATACCAGTTCAGTCTGGTCTTTGTCTTTTCGTCAATATTAGAGGAGGAACAATTCAAATTGGTCGTGACCCCTTCGACCAACTCCGAAGGTGAGATAATGGGTTTTTTTGGACGGGCTGAAAGGTAGTGGAAAGACAAGTGACAGATTTTCAGGTTAGTTTATGTTTTCTCGATTATGAAATAAATGATGGATATAGATAGGTGACACTTGTGCAAAACTGGGGTCGGTTCTGGGTCCCCTATTAGTCAACATTTATATAAATTACACACATGACTGTTTGGGGATTCAATTATTAAGTTTGTGGATGACACAAAGATTGGTTGGGTAGCTCACAGTGAGTTTGAGTGTCGTGGGCTACAAGAAGATTAAAACAGGGGTCAAATGGGAAGATAAGTGACAGGCAGAATTCAACCATGAAAGGTGTGAGGTATACACTTTGGAAGGAGTAATTTGTCTAGAAAATATTCAGTGAATGGCATGGGACACAAAGGGACCTCAGCATGCTTGCCCAAAGATCTCTGAAGGTGGAAGGGCATGTTAGGAGGATTGTGATAAAAGGCATAAGGGAGACTTGTCTTTACCAATTGAGGCATAGAATACAAAAGCTGGGAAGTCGTGATGGAGTTGTACAGAATTTTAGTGAGACCACAGTTAGAGTACCATGTGCAGTTCTGATTGCCTCATTACAGGAAGGATCTGATGGCACTGGAAGAGGTGCAGAGGAGGTTCACCAGGATGTTGCCTCGTATGGAACTGTAAGTTATGAGGGAAGGTTGGATAGGCTTGGATTGCTTTCATCTGATTGAGGTGTATAAGATTATGAAGGATATTGACAGAGTGAATCAGAAGTAACTGAAGAGTCAGTCATGAGGGGACACAGGTTCTAGGTGAGGGACAGGAGGTTTAGAAGGGATGTGAGGATAATCTTTTTTTACCCAGAGGTCTGGAATGTGCTGACTGGGAGGGTAGTAGAGGCGAGGTGCTTCACATCCTTTAAAAAGTACCTGGATGAGCAGTTGGCACATTCAAGGGTATGGGCCATGTGCTGCTAAATGGGATTAGGTTGAAGGTCAAGTGTTTCCCACGTGTCGGAGCAGATTTGACGGGCTGAAGGGCCTCTTCTGCACTGTATGATTCGATGATTCTATGAAAGTAACTATCAGGCAGGAATAATTACCGTAAACAGTGAGTTGCAAGCCTGGTAGTCCCGTCCATCTGTCTCTGTGTGGAATTACAAATCTGAAGCAGAAAATGTTATTGTGCTTTTTCTGAACAGCATTAATTCGAAGAGAACAGTTGCCCTGAGTCAGATTTCCAATGAATTCTACTCCAGAGTCTGGGCGTTGCTCCTCGCTCATGTACAGTTTGTCGGAGTCTTCGTGACATAGATTTTGTAACCACATGGCAATTATTCTGGATGCACGTATACCAGGATACCAGAAAGAACAGTTAAAGGTCACAGATGTCCCTTCCAATGCATTAAGAGTTGTTGGAATTGAAACACCCCACATGTTTGCAGATGAATAACCTGGGTAGGGAGTGGGTAGAAAGAGAAAAGAAAACACTGATATCATTGACCTCAAATCCTCTGTCACCACTGCAATCCAACAGGCTATATACGTGTTTAACTTTTTTCTGACAATTTTATGGTACATTTAATTAGAAGATAAAGATCAAGGAAATTGAAGCTCAATGGTACTGCTCTCACCTCACTCAAACAGAAGATCAAATTCAAACGGCAAGACTTGAACACATAATGCCCGATTTATCGAAGTTCTACATTGTTGTAGGTGCAGTTTTTGAATGAGACCTTAGCTCTCAGTTAGACATAAGAAAATCCCACAACACTTTTTGAAGAGGATAAGGGATCTCTACTTGGTGTGCTCGATGACTCAAAAAGGCCCTAAAACTGATCACCTCATCATTATGTCCTTGTTGAGAATTGGGCCAGGAACCCAGGCCCCTCCAACTCACCAGTACATTCTGTCCATGGTTATCAATTGACCTACTGGAGATGGGCACGATTGCAAATTTAGATCAAAGAGTTATGTTTGCAGTAGGCTTTATTGCTTAATCTTTGTTCTTGGGCATTTCCATTAACTTTAAACACTTCTCTCGGGGAAGGTATCTAATCTTGGAAACTAATTGCAGAGCAAAATACTGTACCTTATCAACAAATTAGAATTACTCAGTCAACATCTTGTATGTTATCATTGTTCAAAAACTGAACTGGACTATAAACATTGGCTACAGCAGAAGTTCAGAGAATTGAAATTTTGCGGTGAGTAATGGCGGCTACAAGAGCAGGGCAGAGGATAGGAACACTGCGGTGAGTAACTCACCTCCTGACTTCCCGAAGCCTGTCCACCATCTACAAGGTACATGTCAGGAGTGTGATGGAATACCCCCAACTTGCCTGGATGAGTGCAGCCCCAACAACACTCAGGAAGCTCGACACCATCCAGGACAAAGCTTGACTGGCACCACATCCACAAGCACCCACTCCCTCCACCACTGACGCTCAGTAGCAGCAGTGTGGACTATCTACAAGGCGCTCTGCAGAAATTCACCAAAGATCCTCAGACAGCACCTTCCAAACCCACGACCACTTCCATCCAGAAGGACAAGGGCAGCAGATATATGGGAACACCAGGATACTCACCATCCTGACTTGGAAATATATTGCCGTTCCTTCACTGCCACTGGGTCAAAGGCCCCCCTATAAGGGCATTGTGGGTTTTAACCTACAGGAGGGCTACTGCAGTGGTTCAAGGCAGCACCTTCTCAAATGCAACTAGGGACGGGCAATAAAACTGGCCAACAAGTGACACCCTCATCCTACAAATGAATCAATAAAAAAAATACTCACTTCCTGTCTCGCCATAGCTTATCTACCATCTACAAGGCACAAGTCATGAGGATGATGGAATACTTTCCACTTGCCTGGATGACTGCAGACCCTACAGCATTCAGGCCACATTCTGCATTCAATGCCTTTGTGTTCCTGTTGCAACATGGTATTATGATATAATGCATTTGGTCTTGCTTTTCCCTTATAAATGACTTGGTGTAATATATCAGGTTTGACCCTGTACGACCAAAATTAATAAATTTTCTCAGGTATTGCTTTAATATTGCCTATAATACGAGGTTACAACAGAGAAGTAGCAGGTCACACGTCATGTAAGATGAGGCCGAAATCTCTATACTCAGGTATGATGGACCAATTGCCCTTTCAATATTATTCTGGGGGATTTGAGCATTGCTGGCCAGGTCAATATTTATTGCTCATCCCCAACTGCCCTTGTGAAAATAGCAGTCTGCTATGTTCATGAACTGTTTCCATTTACTGAATGGTTTTAGTATGTCCTTGCAAATTAGAGATACCTCTAACCAATCTGTTCAGAAATATTCTTACTCACTTCTGAAGTTGGTAGGACTTGAACCCAGGCCGTCTGGTTCAGATGAAGGGACACTACCATTTTGCCATGAGAGCCCCTAGATAATAACATGCATAAACAAGTCTCCCTTTGGTCATATATTATGGAGGAAATCACATTGTGAGCAATGAATACGTTAAACCAAATGCAAAGAAGTGTAAGGAAATCAGTCTTTGACTGAAATTAACATCTGGGCCTTGGAGTGTGAAAGGAGGAGATAAGGGGATAGGAGTTACATCTTCTGCACTTGCAGAGGTGTAATTGGTGGTTGTTGAAAAGGTGACTGAGATATGAGAAATTGAGGAGAGGGATAAGGTGTTACAAAGTGAATAATTCCTTCAAAATACTCAAACTGAAGGGAAGGGAAGATGGTTTTGGCGGTAGCATCTAGCTACATCTTGTTGGAATGGTAGAAGATCATTCATTGAATGTAGAGTCTGGTAGGCGTTGTGTGGTGTCTTAAAGCCAATACGTCAGTATCTCTTTAAGAGACATGCTCGTGATATCTTCACTGTGAACTCAAGGCATAAAGTTCTCATACTCTATCTTACGTGTGGTGTGACTCTGTCTCTCTGTTGTATCTCAAAGTTTAATGTTAGCCCACTCACTTATATGTTTGTGTATGTAATGCCTGCACAGAAAAGTAAGCTGTGATAAATATCCGTTTCATTCTTCAATACCATGGAGACAAGTATGCTTAAATGTGGAATAAAAATAGAAAGTGCTGGAGAAACTTGGTAGGTCCATTAGCATCTGTGGAAAGAGAAACAACATTAATGTTTCAAGTCCAGTTTAGCTCTTTTTTTTTTGGTAAATCTTTTGCCAGACCTGCTGAGTGACTTCAGAACTCTCTGTTTTTAGATCAGATTTACGGAGTTTGCAATAGTTTATTTCTCTTACACCTAAGGGTGATTTGATCAACTTTTCTAGGATGATGAAGGCATTAAATTGTGTTCCTCCAGGTGGCTTGTTTTAACTGAATAGTTTAGGGAGCATCATGATATGAAGTAATGTAAGGCTAGAACAAGGTTAGGAATCAAGATGTGGTTCTTTTTTTGATTCACTACATTCCTTCAAGTGAGAGTTCGATCCATTTCTGACAGGGGTGGTGATCACTGTGTAGAATTTGCACAGCGGTTGAATGTGCATTATTTCATGTAGATCAGAAGAAATTTCCTTATTTTTTGCACCCGAACTGGTCCAGGTTTTAATCTGCTCTTCCCAAGATGATCATATAAACTTTAGCTTGGTGTGGGGAGGGCATACATTATGCAAGTATTGCAGTTGTGGGGATGAGGCTAGATAGGGCCAAGGGCCATTTCTTGCTGTTAAGTTTGGAAGGTTGGGGACTTCAGACTGATTTATTTCCCCTCCTGATCAACTGGTGCTTTAGTTGGGAACAGCTAACCACAGACTGACTTAGTGGGCAAGTACTTGGCAAATGCAATATAATGTGGATAACCGTGAGGAAATCCATTTGTTCGTAAAAACAGGAAGGCAGGTTATTAGCTGAATGGTGGCAGTTTAGGAAAAGGTGAGGTGCAATGAAACCTGGGTGACATGGTGGAACAGTTGCCGAAGGTTGGCATGAAGATATAGCAGGCAGTGAGGAAAGCTAATGGCATGCTGGCCTTCATAGCAAGAGGACTTGAGTATCAGAATAAAGATGTCTTGCTGCAGATATATAGGACCTTGGTGAGGCCACACCTTGAGTATTGTGTGCAGTTTGTTCTGTTAGTCTGAGGAAGGACATTCTTGCTAAAGAAGTAGTCCAGCAAAGACTCACCAGACTGATTCCCAGGTTGGCAGGACTGACATACGAATAAAGATTGGATTGACTGGGATCACTGGAATTTAGAAGAATGAGGGATGATCTCATATAAACATATCAAAATTCTGATGGGACTGGACAGGCTAGATGTGGGAAGAATGTTCCCAGTATTGGTGAAGTCCAGTACCAGGGGTCACAGTCTAAGGATCAGGCGTAAGCCATTCAGGACTGAGTTGAGGAAGAATTTCTTCACTCAGAGAGTTGTGAACCTGTGGAATTCTCTCCCACAGGAGGCTGTTGGGGCCGGTTTGTTAGATTTTTCAGAGGAAGGTGGATGTGGCCCTTACAGCTAAAGGGATTAAGGAGGTATGGAGAGAAAGCAGGAGTGAGATACTGAGATTGCATGATCAGCCAGAATGGTGGTGCAGGCTCGAAGGGCTGAATGGCCTACACCTGCACCTATTTGCTATGTTTCTATTGGAGTTTGCAGTCTCTGTCAACAGCTGTCATTGTTCATACACTCTGAGCCGAATACCTGACATCTGTAGTCTCAGAAATAAGGTCAAGTACAAATGTAATGGAAATCCACACTGATAACCAATCATAAAAAATGATAACAAAGCACACAATGTGGGAAATTCAAATATATGTCTAAATGTCAAAGTAGATTTGGTTGCATGGTAATCAGTGTAGAACACAGTGAGGGACAGCTAAAGGCTTTTCACACAATACATTGTAAAATTAACTAATAGCTAGAACCTAGTCAACAACAACAACAACATAATTCAGGCAAGTTACTAATTGAGTGGACCCACAATGGTACAGTCCTTTCTGCTATTACACATGTTTCGTCAACACAAATTGGCTGTAACGCGATTCATGAGTAGGTGAACACTGCTTGCAAAATTTGTGAAATATACGTGTGTCGGCTATTACACGATTCCATCCCCAACGTTTTAAGTGTTGCAATGCACAAAGGAATACAATGTTCATGCCAACAGATTCTCCGCATTAACATCATATTGACTTACATGCTTTGCTGTGAAGTGCTTTTTGAGAAGTACTCGTAATTTTCACCCTTTTTTTTGCAAATTTTGCTATTACCCATAAGTATGGGAGGACAAATTAACAAGAATGTTGACAAGAAGCATCCTGGGAATAAAATTGTGGACAGTGAACGTAAAAGAAAGGCTACAACACTTGACGAGAAGCTAGATATTGTAGACCGCTTGGAACAGTAAAGAATGAACATGTGATATTGTTTGTGCAACAGGAATAAAGGAGTCTACCTTATGCACCATTAAAGACAATGCAGAA